AAAAAGAAAAAAAAAAGTAAAAGAAAAAAAGAAGCATCTGTGTTATGGTCTGCACTGGAAACTTGGTCCAGTGTCCTTTGTCAACTGTACCTGTGGCTTCTTTCCCTTAAGCCACCAGTAACATGGGGCTCGTTTGACACTCCTTGGGGCATCCTCGGGGCTGAAGGAAGTTTCCTTGGAGGTTTTCAAGGAAATTCCCGCCATCGTTCCTTCCACCTGTCCTCGGGGACGTCGCCCGAGGACATTTCCTTCCAACAATGTCAGACAAGAAAAAAGAAAAAATCAAAAAATCAAATGTGTTTGACGCCTTCAGCCAATAGGGCGCCGCCACGATCCAGATTCTCGGTTGTAACGTCTCTCTACCCATGTGCCCGCTCCTCTCCGTGAAATGCGGATGCCTTTTGCCCAAGGAACCTCGTGAGGTCCCTTGGGCAAAAGGAAGAAATGGCTGGGGAATCCTCAGAGCCCAAGGAATTTCCTTCAGAGTGTTTTCACTTCTTTTTTTCCGACTGCATCCCCGAGGATAGGTGGAACGAACAATTCCTCGGGGATTTTACGCGCCCGAGGAGTGTCGAACGAGCCCCTATGCCCCGCGCGCCGTTTCATGCCGACTGCCAGCGAAACAAAAAAAAAATTGAGAAAACTAGGGCGCTGTCATGGCTGAGTTTTTAAATACATTTGAAACTGCGGTTGTGGAGTCCAGTCCCCTCTGAAGTTTACACTGCAGGCCAAACTCCTCCGCTGTTGCAGGGCAGAGTTTGTAACTGCAGTCTCGTCATCCACGTAAGAGGGCCAGGCCGTCTGGAAAAAAAAAAAGAAGAAACAAGAAGAAAAGATCGTGGCGCTGTATCTTTCCATGTTCTAGCGGAAGATTCTCTCTCGGTCTCGTCCCATGGCTGGCCACGGCCAGGATGACTCGGCCCGGTCGCGTGGCTGGCCAAGTCCGCGATGCCTCAGCCACATCCCATGGCTGGCCACAGCCAGGATGCCTCGGCCCAGTCGCGTGGCTGGCCAAGGCCATGGCTGGCCACGGCCAGG